ACGTGCACATGGGACCCTTGTAGCCTAGTGGCAAGGAATTGCACTACCAACCCAAGGGCAGACAGTTCAAAACCACTATCAGCTCTGAAGGACAAAATGAACAATTTCCTTCTTTATGATTCACAGCTTCTGAAAGCCTGCTGGAGAATTAGCTGAGTTGGTTCTGACTCAACCACATGGACCACCACCACCAAAACCGTATGCTTATGGCAAAAGAAGGATACTCAGGAAAGATATTATCTTTTATGGCAGGATGTGTTATGTATCATCTAGATATACTTTAGTATTATATACAATAACATAATATCATGGAATGTGGTAGTATTAATCATCCACAAGCCAAATCCATTTCACAGAGCACCCATATGTGCAGTGTAACACCACTCTATAGGGCTTTCAAATAGATGACCTTTAGGAAACAAATTTCTATTTTCTACCTTCAAAAGTGTTTTTGAGACTATTGCAATTGCCAACCTTTCAGTTAAGTACTTAATATTTACGTTAATCAAGAATGCACTGTAATATGTTGTTGTTGCTGCTGCTGCTGCTGCTTTTGTTATGTGCCATTGAGTTGCCTGTGACTCACAGCAACCCTATGTACAACAGCCCTGAATCCTGCTTTATTCCTGTGCCAATCTTAAAGTCTCTAATGCACCTACCCCTCTTACCCCAGTCACTGAATCCCTACATCTCATCAAGGGTCTTGCTCTCTTGTGCTGTTCATACACCCTCCCAAGCATGACGATCCTCTCTAGGACTGGTCCCTCCTTTTAAGTCCAAAGTATGTCAGACAAAGCTTCAGAATCCTTACCTTCAAGGAGTATCCTGGTCTCACCTTCTCTAGGGTGAACCTATTTGTTCTCCTAGAAGTTCATGATATATTCAATACTCTTCTCCAGCACCACAGCTCAAAGGCATCAATTCTCCTTCAATCATCCATAGTCATTGTCTAGCTTTCTGATGTATAGCAAGTAATTGAAAATACTACGGCCTGGATCAGGTGCACCTAATCATCCTGACTGACATCGTTTCTTTTCAGTACTTTAGAGTGGGCTCTAACAGCAGACTTTCCTAATGCAATTCGTCTTTTAATTTCCTGGCTGCTGGTATCAAGAGTGTTGATTGTGGAGCCAAGCAAACTAAAGCTGTTAACAATCTCAATCTCTTCACCATCTGTCATGATACTGCCAACCAGCCAGATGGTGAGAATCTTTGTTTTCTTGATATTTACCTTCAACCCATTTTAAAGCTGCAGTCCTTGACCTTCTGCAGCAAGCGCGGTAGGTCCTTCTCAGTTTCAGGAACAGGGTTGTGTCATCTGTATAACACATATTGTTGATGAGTTTTCTTCTAATCCTGACACCACATTTCTAATAGGCCACTCTTAGAAAAGCATATATGGCAATTGAAGCTGAGCCCTCAAGTATGGAAATACACAAGAGGAAGAATAGTTGTAAGCAGAAAGTAGTGATTCGTACATGGAATGTGAGAGCGATGATTTTAGGAAAAGTCTATACTTTTAAGAAAGAAATGGAATGTATAAATATTGACATACTAAGTTTTGGCAGAATAAGATAGACTGACCTGGGACATTTTGAATGAGACGATCATATGGCCAGAATTTGTTGCTTGCTGTTCTGTTAAATTTTCCTATTCTGTCTGGGGTGAGATGATATCTCATCATTGTTTTAATGTGCATCTCTCTTAGAGCTAGGGATTTTGAACATCTCTTCATGTGCTTGCTGGCCATCTGAATTTCTTCTTTTGTGAAGTGTCTGTTCATACCCTGTGCCCATTTTTCAATGGAGTTGTTTACCTTTATCTTGTTGTGGTACTCAAGTATTTTATAAATTCTAGATCTAAGTCCCTTGTCTGCATGTCATTACCAAATATTTTTTCCCAATCTGAGGTTTCTCTTTTAACCCTGTTGGAGAAATTTTGGGGTGTGCATAGGGATTTGATTCTTAGAAGGTCTCATTCATCTATCTTGTTCTCTCCTGGTTGTAGATTTTCCAGGATGCTTGGAAGACTGTTTATGTTGTAGATTAGGAAGCTTTTATTTAATGACGTTTATAGTCCTTGGTTTTAGTCCTAGGTCTTTAATCCACTTTGAATTGGTTTTTGTGTATGGAGTGAGGTGTGGATCTTGCCTGAGTTTTCTGCAAATAGCTTTCCAATTTTGCCAGCACAATTTGTTTAAAAAGGCTGTCATTTCCCCACTTAGCTGATATCATCTCCTTGTCAAAAATCAGTTGACCATAAATAGATGGGCTGATTTCTGGATTATCAATTTTATTCCACTGATACATATGTTTGTCATTGTACTAGTACCATGCTGTCTTCACCACCACGGCAGTGTAGTAGAATTTGAAATCAGGGAATGAGATGCCTCCTACCTTGTTTCTCTTTTTAAGGAGTGCTTTGCTTATTCTGAGCCTCTTTCCATTCCAAATGAAACTGGAGATTGCCTTTTCAACTTGTTAAAGAATGGAATTGGTATTTGTATTGGGATTGCACTGAATGTGTAAATTGCCTTTGAAAGAAATGTCATTTTCACCACATTGAGTCTTCCTATCCATGAGCAAGGGATATTCTTCCACTTCTCCAGGTCTCTTTTTGTTGTAAGAGATCTGAACCTTGCCCTATACTCTATCATTGCCACAATATACACCATAATCAAGCCCTTTGTTGACAGCCACTGTGTCGATCCATCCTGCTAAAAGTCTTCCTCTCTTTCTCTAACCCTCTATCTTTCCCTCAAGATCTCTTTTTCCAAGGACTGGTTCCTCTTCACAACATCCTCAAAGTCTGTGACATTAAATTACATCATCCTTGCATCCAAGGATCATCCTCGTTGCAGTTCCTCCAAGACAGGTTAGTTTGTTCTTTTGGAAGTCCATAGTATATCCAGTACTCATCACTAACATCAACACTCAAAAGTATCAATTCTTCTTCTATTGTCTTTATTCATTGTCCAACTTTCAGATACATAGAAAGTAATTAAAAAATACCATGACTTGGACAAGGCACATTTTAATGCTTAAACTGACAGCATTGCTTCTTAAGACATTGGAGAAGTCAGTGGCAACAGATTTTTCCCAATGAAACTTGGCTTTTGATTGGGTTGTTTTGTTTGGTTGGTTTTTAACTGCAACTTTTGGAGGTGTTGATTTTGGATTCAAGTAAAATGAAATAATTGACAATTTCAGCCTTTTCTTCATCTTTCATTATGTAGCCTGCTGGTATGGCAAGGAGTTTGTTTTCTTAATGTTGGGATGTAATCCTTTCCTTTTGTAATATTTTTATATTAATTGTGATTTTAACAAAAGGTTACAGAAAAGTTAGATTTTCACTCTAATGTGCATTGTTGCACATTTTACCCCCTCCCTCCCTTCCCCTTCCTCAAGTTGACTTTTATTAATACTAGTTTATTTACAAAATTCAAATACATTGTTTTTGAGAACAGAATCTTCCTATTTCCCTCACTCCCACCACCCATCAAATTGTACAACCCCATGATTAATCCCTCACTGCACATCCTCATCTCTCTGCTTCGACCCTTCCCCACCCCCCTTGGATCCTTATACTCATTCTAAAATAATGGTTTTATATAATACTTGACCTTAAGGGACTGAGTTCATCCACACAACATAATGCTCTCCAGTGCCTCCCAAGTTAGATAACAATTTACAAAATCATTGCTCCTGTGTCGTGTGTAGTATTCCATTGTGTGAATGTACCCTAATTTCTCAGTCTATTCTTTTGTGGATGGACATTGGGCTGTTTCCATGTTCTTACGATGGTGAATAATGCTACTATAAAAATTGGTGTACAAATCTCCCTTTGTGCCTCGGTTCTCATTTCCTCAGGGTATATTCCAAGCAATGGAATAGCTGGGTCACATGGAATTTTATGTTCAGCTTTTTGAGGAATTGTGAAACTGTCTTCCAGAATGGTTATACCATTTTCCTATCCCACCAACAATGTATATGAGTTTCTTTGCCCACATCCTGAGATGTAATTCTTATTGAACACAGTAGTCTTTGATTTTTTGCAGTAAATACTTCAAGTCTTCTTCATTTTCTGTTAGCAAGATTGTAACACCTGAATAATTTCGATTGTTGATGAGTTTTACTCCAATCCTGATCTCACATTCTTATTCATATTGTCCAGCTTCTTCAGTGATTTGTACAGTTTACAGAATGATACAAATAAATTCTTTTTTCACTTTAGAACTTATTCTATATTATTATATTTTATCATGGTGAGCGTGATGAATATTTTTTTATTTAGGTGAATTTTTATTAAGATTATTTTTGTCAAATTGAGAAGTTTTAGTTTTTTGTTTTTGTTTTTTTTAATAATTTTAATGAGCATTTACAGAGAATTTGGATTTCCACTGTGATGAATAATTTTAATTACACACTGTCTTTTAGCTACAACAAACACTATCAGTATTAATGTTCTGTATTGAGGGAAATTTTTTTAAATTAATGTTTACCGCGGCGCAGGAGAGGAAGGCCCTCTATGAGGTGGATTGATTCAGTGACTTGGATAATTGGGATGGGAGTGTCAGAGACAGTGCGATTGGCACAGGACAGAGCGGAGTTTAGGGCTGTTGTACATAGGGTCGCTATGAGTCGCAGGCGACTCGACGGCACATAACAACAATGTTTACCGCTGTTCCCAGTACCTTCAAGAAAACAGTATAAAAGATTTTTTTAATGAGCAGAACAAAGTCTCAAGGGGTTTGTAGAGAAATATATCGCCTTATGAAAATGTTGAGATTAAAAGTAAGAAATTTAGTGTCAGGAACAGGGAGACGATATAATGCTTTGCAGTCCATAAAATTCCCAGTTAAAAAGCACTCAATTAAGACGATATATAAGAATTAGTTAAAAAATACATTTACTATATAAACAACTGCCTGTTATGTTGCTCGGTGCTTATGGCTTAGTTTGTGTTGCTCCTTTCTCTTTCCCAATAGATTCAGCAGCTACATGGAACCAGAAAACCAAACACATGTTTTGGAATTTATTCTTCTGGGGCTCTCAGGAGAAGCAGACCTGCAGCCCCTCCTCTTCGGGCTCTTCCTGTCCATGTACCTGGTCACCTTCACTGGGAACCTGCTTATCATCCTGGCCATCATCACAGACTCCCACCTCCACACACCCATGTACTTCTTTCTGTCCAACCTCTCTTTTGCAGACATCTGTTTCACTTCCACCACTGTCCCTAAGATGCTTGGGAATATTCAGATACAGAACAAAGTTATTACTTACCAAAGCTGCATCGCTCAGATGTATTTTTTCATGGTTTTTGGAGACTTGGACAGTTTTCTCTTAACAGCGATGGCCTATGACCGGTTTGTGGCCATCTGCCATCCCCTACGCTACACAGTCATCATGAGCCCCAAGGTGTGTGGCTTCCTACTTCTGGTATCCTGGATACTGAGTGTTCTGGACTCTCTATTACACTCCTTGCTGGTTTTGCAGCTGTCTTTTTGCACAGACCTGGAAATTCCCCACTTTTTTTGTGAACTTAATCAGGTAATCCAACTGGCTTGTTCTGACACTTTCCTCAATGACTTATTGATGTGTTGTGCATCAGGACTTTTAGGTGTTATTCCACTCACTGGGATCCTTTTCTCTTACACTAAGATAGTTTCCTCTATTTTGAGAATTTCATCAGCTGAGGGAAAGTATAAAGCCTTTTCCAAGTGTGGATCTCATCTCTCAGTGGTTTCCTTGTTCTATGGTACAGTTCTTGGAGCTTACCTCAGTCCTTCCGCTTCCCAAAACTCTAGGGCCAGTGCAATAGCATCAGTGATGTACACTGTGGTCACACCCATGCTGAACCCCTTTATCTACAGTCTCAGAAACAAGGACATAAAACAGGCCCTAAAAAAACTTTTCAACCAAGAAAAATTTTTTGCATAATAGTATCATTTTGAAGCTCAACACCAAGAAGACAAAGTTTCTCACCACTGGACTAATAATTGGCATTACTATGATATATGGAGAAGGGATTGATGTTGTTAACAATTACAGCTTGCTCAGCTCCACAAACAACACTCTTGGTACCAGCAGTGAGGAAATTTTAAAAAAATAAATAAACTGTAGTGGAAAAATCTGTTGTCAGGAACCTCTTCAGAGTACTAAAAAGCATAGATGTCAGTGTAGAGACTAAGTTGTCCTTAATCTACGCCATGATCTTAAAAAGTACTTGCTATTTATCAGGGAGTTGTACAATGACTAAAGACGACAGAAAAAGAATCGATGTCTTCAAACTGTGGTGCTGGAGAAGCGTTTTGAACATACAGTAGACTGCCAAGAAAACAAATAGGTCTGTCTTGGAGAGAATGAAACTAAGTTTCTTCTTGGAGACTAGGATTTTGAAGCTCCATCTCACATACTTTGGGCACAGGGCCAGAAGATACTGATCCTTAAAGAAGGATATCACACTCAGAAGCCGGAGGGACAGAGCCAAAGAGGAAGACCCGGATAACATAGAAAGGTACAGTAAGGAGGGCAATGAGGGTTGTTGTGTCAGAATCAGTGACACTGGATCAGGACACAGAATCAGTGACCCTGCCTTCAGAGCTGCTGTATGAGTAGTAGGTGAGATGCAACAGCACATAACAATAACAACAACAACATGGTAGCATAGTGGCAAGAAGCTGCTCTGCAATCCCAAAGGCACGCAGTTGGAGAAAGATGGGTAATCTTCATCCTTGAGATTAACTGCCTCTGAAAACCTGCCAGAGGGTCAGCTATGGGTCGGTTCCAACTCGACGGTACACAACAACAACAACAGTGTCACTTTTCTCAACAACAGAGTGTTATGAATAATAATAGAGCTCAGACTTAATGAAGACCTTGCCACTACATGTTCATCAATTCATAAATCGATATTATTTTCAGATTTAATCCTTGTTTTATATATTTTACACAAAAAATGAGATATTAATTTATAAATTTCTCTTTTGAAATCCTGTTTCTTTTCATCAGTTCTGATGACTTCGTAGTAAGAAGTTATGCTGCCAACTGGAAGGCACACAGTTCTAATCCACCAGCTGCTTTGTGAGAGAAAGATGGTCAGTCTCCTCCTGTAGGATTTACTGCCTCTGAAAACCAGCTAGAGGGCTGACTATGAGTTGGTTCCAGCTCGCTAGTGCACACCAACCTCAGGGTCATTTCTTCAAACAGATATCATGCTAAGTATTTTGAGCAAGAGCTTTGTAAGTGGGTGTTTATGAGATTGTGACAAATGGCTAGTAATACATCCTTGATGTGTTGGGAATGATTCTCAGAAAATCACTGAAAAGCAGAGCAGCCAAGAATATCAATGCCTCTTCTATCATCTGGAAGATGAGGGAATCAAAGATTCTAGTAAGATTATTGACTCCAAGTAGATGTTGCATTTCATCATAGTAGGAATATTTTGTTATAAGAGCTGACTCGAGTTTCACAGTGACTGCCACATCGGTACCCATTTTACAAATTTAGTCATGTCACTTCTTGGTACACATGATATTACTGACTTGGAAGTTTGATTTCAGAGATAAGAACATATTTGTTACCTCTTGTTGAAAGGGAAGAACACTTGAAAAATTTATTGATGGAAATCAAAAACTATAGTCTTCGCCATGGATTACTCGTCAACATCCAGAAAAAGAATCTTTACAACTTGGCTAATAAACAACATCATAATAAATGCATAAATATAGGCATTGTCAAGGACTTGATTTGATTGAGCACTGGACCATTGAATATCGTTATGTGATAACTCTAGCGAGTAGATTTTTTTCCCTTCTGAAGGATTGTATTTGTAGTTTGAAGTGGGTTTTAGTAGTTTTTCTATAGACTTTTAAAATTTTTCTTTAAAAGTTTGCATCCTTTATTGTAACTAGAACCTAACATTTCTATTCCTTTATCTGCTGGCAAGGACCACTCCAAAATACTAACGAGAAAACATGCCAGTTTAAAGACTAAGGGCATCTAACTCATGCCATGATCTTTTCAATCACTTTATAAACATGTGAAAGTTGGAAAATGAATACTCACACAGACAAAAAATAACACCTCCAAAAATGGAATCTATAGCTATGATCTAACAAAATATAGACCACAATAGACTTAAAGCTACACAACACCAATCCTAGAAAGAAGAAAAATAAAATGAGTGGAGAGACACTCTGTTTTCATGAAACAAAAGACTCTATAATACTGTTAAGATGTCATCCTTTCCCAACTTGATCATACATTTAATTCAACCCAAATCAAAACACAACACAGTTATTTTATAGATGTTAACAAAATGGCTCTGAAGATTTTATAAAAAGACAAAATATTAAAGGAGTCAATAAATTACTTATGTAGAACAACAAAATACAAGGACTCATTATTGACTTCAAGATAAAATGAAAGTAATGAACAATGCATGGATAGGAAAGAGGAGAGAGTCTAAAAAAGGTCTATACAGACAAAGTAAGTGAATCTTTACTTAAAAAGAGGGAGGTGAAGACCAAAAAAAAAAGACTAATCAATAAAAAATACACCTTTTAAACTCTTCGGCAAATAATACTGCAACAATTACTGTCTCTATAAAACAAATTCACCTTAAATCACATAATTTACTTTTAACAAAAATTAACATAAACTACATTATTGACCTAATATAAAGTTAAAAATAACAAAACTTCTAGGAGAAAACAGAATTGTAGTGTTGGTGAAGAATATTGGAAACACCATGACCTGCCAATAAAACAAGCAAATCTATGTTGGGAGAATTTCAGACAAGGTGCTCCTTAGAAGAAAGGGTGATGGGGCGTCATATCTCATACTTTAGACTTGTTTTGGGGAGGGACCAGTCCATGGAAAGAAGACATCCTGGAAAACTGAGAGTAAGAACGGGACGGAAAGATCGTGGTTGTTGTTGTGTACCATAGGGTCAGAACTGACCCATAGCTGACCCTCTGGTAGGTTTTCAGAGACAATGAATCACACAGGAGAAGAGTGCCCCTCTTTCCGCCACAGAGCAGCTGGTGGCCATCAACTGTGTGCCTCAAACTGGATTTCAGCTCAGCAAGAGATTCTTAGGAGGTGAACTGACACAGTGACTGTAACAATGGCTTTAAGCACAGCAGAAGTGGTGATGATAGCAAAAGATTGGGCGGATTTTATTCTTCTGGGCTAGTCATCATGAGTTGAAGCCAACTCAACAACATCTATCAACAACAGCACACAGGTTAAAAGAAGAACAGATCACTGGAAGATAGTTATACATTGTTCCTGCCAAAATCTGCCACACTCCTGGGCTGCTGTTTCCACAACTGTTGTCATGGAATGCCTGGAAAAGTGCTAAGCAAGTATATGTTAAAATGTCAAAAGACTCTACCATATTTCAGTGACTTCTCCTGATTCATGATTCATTTGGCTTCTGAAAACATTTTAATATATTCTAGAGTTCAAATAAAGTAGAATAATTGCTCTTTGTCAACTGTTTTGAGTCTCTGAGATGGGTTAGGCCTCTGGTACTACCTGTTGTTCCACCTTTGCTAATCAGTGATTTAAAAAAATCTTTTCTTACAGCCCCAACCCAATCTGCAATCATTTCTCATATTTTCATTCCAAGTTTCACTATAATATTTCTGACTCTTTGATTCCATGTTGCTGTTGTTTTCATAGCAACAAGAATTGGTTCCTCTCATTGAATTAGGGTAACATTTCAGACTAAGTCTTACATGGATATCCTTTGTGATAATTCTACTTTGACTCTCCACTAATTTAATTATGAACTTCATAGTCATAAGGTTCTCTGTTGTCTATTCACTGTTTTAGTCAACATCCAGCTTTCTGATTCAGAGGAAGCAATTGGTGAGGCCCTGGCTTGAATCAGGTACACCTTAATCTTCCAACTGACATTGTTGTTCTTCAATACGGTGGAGAGATTCATGGCTACAGAATTTTTCAACACTATATGATGTTTTACTTCTTAACTGCTGTTGTCAAGGTTTTTAACGTGTATCCCACCAAAATGAAACACCTCTATCTTCTATTTTGATGTTGCCTATTGGCCCACTGGTGAGGATGTTTGTTTTCCTGACGTTGAGATGTAATTCATATTAAAGGCAGTAGTCTTTGACGTTCTGCAGTAAGCATCTCAGTTCCTTCTCAATTTCAGCAAGGAAATTTGTATAATCTACATACCACAGGCTGTTGATGAACTTCCCTCTGATTTTGATGGCACATTTTTAATTCATAAAGTCAAGCTTTTCATATCACACAGATTAAATAGATATGGAGAGAGGGCATAGCCCTGACATACTCCTTTCTTTATTTTAAATAATACAGTAGTATAGCCTTTCTTTGTTTGGACAATGACCTAGATGGAGGTGTCATAATAGTATAAATAAATGCTCTGGGCTTCTCATTCTTCTAAATGTTATTCACAATTTGTTATGATTCACACAATTAAATGCCTTTGTATGATCAATAACGTAAAAATATACATCTTTATTATATTTCCTCCTTTCAGCCAAGATCCATGCATCTGAAAGTAGGATATTGACTAAGGATGGCAGTAGAAGAGTTGACAACGTTGAGGTATGGTTTGGAGAAGAGTGTTGAATATCCAATGAACAGCCAAAAACAGCAAACAAATCTTGGGGAAGGTCGCTCCAGAGTCCTCCTTGGAAAGAGGGATGATGAAACTCTGTCTTATATACTTTGGAAATGTGTTTAGTAGACGCAGTCATAGGAAAAGGACATCATACTTGGAAAGGTGGAGGGTCAGTGAAAGAGAGGACGATCCTCGTTAAGATGGATTAATACAGTGACTGAAGAAATGTGCTCAAATAGCTCAAGTATCGCAGGGATAGTGAGGACGGCACAGGGTAGGGCTGGGCTCAAACAACTTGAGACACCTAACAACAACAACAACAACAATTCACTGTCTACCTGGGTAGGCTCTTTTATGTTTTAACTTTTTATTCTCTAATCTTTATTGTTGTTCAGATATTATAAATTATTTCAAAGTCCCTAAATACACATTTCTTTTATTTAACCACACAAAGATAATTGATATGTCCTGGAGAGGGTGCAGCTAGAGAGGCAAGAAAGATGAGTGTTCACCTCACATCCTTTGGACACATTGCTACGAGGTGCTACACCATGGAGAGGGACATGATGCTGGAAGGGTGGAGAGCTTGCGAAGAAGAGGAAAACCCTAAACCAGATGGATTGACAAGGCGACTGCTGCAAAGGGCTCTTGTGTGTCAGGAAGTGTGAGGATGGCACAGGACAGGACTAGGTTCAGATCTTTTGTGCGTAGGGTCGCTATGAGTTGTACTTGACTCGATGGCACTTGGCAACAACAAAACAACAACAGCTCCATTATTCCTTGTGGCCTCTTCTTACAATATTTTTTTCCACTTGGAAAAGCTCGTGGCTCAGTGTAAATATCATCTTATACTGTCCTTTCAAACCATCAATAATCTTCCTGGG